TTCCATTTGGCAGAAAGCGAACCTTTGTGGCGACTTTGTGTTTGGTGAAGCGAGAATCGGGGCCCTTGCGGTATGCACTGCACTGATCCTCAACATCCACAGCACGCTCCGAACGGGCAATCATCTCTTTAAATCCGAGAAGGTTTGACTTCACTGTTATTGAAAGATGAGTATTGCCCCGCAAAATTTCCAGAGCCCGTATCAGACTAATCCTCTTGAAGCTCTGCCCATTCACTTCGATGATCTAAAAATGCGTTAAAAGAAGAATAAATGGCAACACGCAACAGACTAGCTGGTGCGATCATGCGTTTTGTGCAATTCGTTCACCGAACGATTGCCTGTTAATGATTTTCACTGCTTTGTAATTTAATCGCTGCAAAAATAGTTGAGACGCTGAAAAATAGTTAAAATTTCACGCACCAACACATGAAATTTCACGCACTGGCACTACCGCAAGACTGCAGCTTCTTGGCTTTTATGGTTCCTGAAATGAAAATTTACCCACCAAAATTTTTACGGGGCCGTAGCTGATACCTGAGAGAGAGGGAACGCCGAATTTCAGTTTTCAGGGTCGTACATGGTCAAGGGGTTATTACCCTAAAATTTCAGCTTCGTAGATTTTTTGGTTCCCGAGATAATAATTTACTCGCCAAAATTTTCGCGGGACCGTTCGTGTTACCCGCGGGTAAGAGAAGGCTGAATTTAAATTTTCTGGGTCGCATGTGCGCAGGGGACATGCTCGCAAAACTTCAGCCTTCTAGTTTCCACGGTTCCCGTGATAATAATTTTACGCGCCGAAACTTTTACGGGGCTGCAGTTGTTACCCGCCGGTATGGGGAGGCTGAATTTAAATTTGCGGGGTCGCACTTGCGTGAGGAACGTTACTTTAAATTTTCAGCTTCCTGGCTTTTGTGGTTCCCGAGTTGAAAGTTGCAGACAAGCTGCTGCGGACACACACACACACACACAAACACACAGACAACACCGTGACAATATGCGTTTTGTACTGCTATTACACAGCAAAAAAACGCATAAAAAATAGTACATCTGCTCATTCTCTACTCGCCATAACAGCTTCCTTATTAGAACTCTTTCGGCTTAAAAAAAAAAAAAAAAAAACTTAGTCCCAAATACCCTTTCCAGTGACCGTAACAGTTTAATCAGAATCGTTTTCTGTTTCGGTTTTTCACTTCTGCTTAGCGGAAAAGTGAAAATGCTGAATGTAACTATTGGTAATGTAACTATTTTTTCTGACACGCGCAAAATTCTGCGCAATCCAAACCAAAATTCCCCTGTAAAGGCTTAGAATTCTTGCTCTCTTTTTGATAAAACCCTCAATCCTTCCCTTCGTCCATGTTATAACAGCACACTGCAATCAGTCAAACCTGTGCAAGAGAGGGCAGAATTATCCCTATAACGATTACACAGCTTATATGTGTCAACTTGCTGTGCCTCTAGCTTCGCTTCACATCTCTGACACTGCACCAGCAGAGAAAAACAAACCTGATCGCCTCTTTTGAGACCAATTTTCTCAGCGTGGCTACCACGCTGTACATCGGAAACAAAGATGCCGGATGAGCCGTTTTCTTTGCCGCCCAGCACGGACAGTGAAAGAGGCTGCTCGCGACTTGAACGCGAATAGATCACTGTTCTTGTGCGAGACTTCACGCTGCATGCGATGTTCAGAAGAGACTGCAAATAAACTGAAGTGATTCGAAGCAAAATGCCAAATAAATCTGAATTCAGTATCTCTTTCGTGAGCAATTTCACAGCACTAAGACAAAACACGACTTCGCTTCGAGTGACGAATTGAGGTAAGTAGCCTCTTTCGTTCCACAGAGTTGAGAAAGCAATGAGATACGGATATACAACTGACAAAAGCAGGGGATGAATCGATACTCGTGGCGAAAAAAGTAATGGATAGGGGAGAAGAGGGG